CAGCGCGGATTTGAGGACTCCTGCCAGCCTCATCCCATGTTTCCACTGCTCTTTAATAAGGTATTGGACCTGGGGAAGAGCTGCTCTTGCCTGGAAGGACTAATAGACATTCAGAGTGCCAAGCCACAGACCCAACCCAGAGACAACAGTTGTACCACAGGCTCTGAAAAGGGCCTCGTGCAGCGTTAAACCCGGTCCGTGCCCAGGACCCGGGTGCTCCCCACATCCCTCCTGTGCCGTACCTTCCTGATATGCCTCGTTGATAGCTGCGATCTCCTGGTTGTTCCGCGTGGCCATGATTTCGATGAGGATGCTCTCGTCTGTGCCGGCCCCCTGGAAGAGAGCGGTATGGTGGGGTGCTGCGGGTGCCAGTGCTGGATGGGGACACGGTGGCATCGCCCCGCCGGTGCCAGGCAAGGAGGGGCTGCCCTAACCCCAGGGCTACCATGTGCCGAAAGTCCAAGTCCAGCAAACGTCCCCAAGGGCTGGTAGGAACCAGCATGGAAGTGTCCAAGTGTGCTGCTAGTGGGGTCCAACTGGTGTGACTGGTGGATAGTGGTGCACGCCACCAGTTTGCCCCTACCCTGGCTCTCCTATGTGAGCGCCTGGCAGGGCACTGCTCCTGCTGCAAAGCGGGGATGCTCTGTAAAGCAGCGGGAGGCCTGCCTGAGAGGCTTTGTGTACGAGCTGGCTAGAGCATGCTGGGCTGCAAAGAGGCCAAACTGGGCTCCTGGCAGGTCTTGAGTGCAAACCAGGTCTTTGTCCTGGTGCTTTCTGCTCTGCTTTCCTTCCGCATAGGAGACGAGAGCCTGGGGGCACGTGAAGCTGGGGTGCACTCACAGCCCCGGGCCACCAGCAGCACAGGTACAACCACAACGAAGACCGCCTCGTCCTCGTGTGCTGAAACTGATCCCACCAGCGTGGCAGTTACCTCCACAGCCTTCCTCAGCTGCTTGGCGTCGTACTGCGGCGGTGTCAGCATGAGCCCAAGGATCAGCTTTGCCAGGCTGCCCGACAGCTCAGATTTCAGGTCTGCCATCAGGTCCTGCAAGAATGTTTAGAGTTCAGTCCCCAGCTCCTCCACAGGAACGGACCAGCTGAGGCAATGCCGGGGAGAAAATGGGACGAGAGCGTGGAGGTGGGACACATCTGGGAAGACCCTTGGGGTGGTTTAAGGTGACATTTTGGGGGATGGCTTTGGGGAGATCCTGGCTCTGGAGTCCTCTGTGCGGGACTGAGGATGCCCTCCCCTCAGGCTGGTAGCGCACCCACAACTTGTTCTTCCTTGGGGGAGTCACGACAGAGCAAAGCGGGGTGCCCTGGCTGCCCACTGGGCAGGATTTCTTTCAGCGAGGGGCAGATCTCCGCATGGGAGGGGGCAGAAGGAAGGAGCAGGGTCACTGGGCAGGATTTCTTTCAGCGAGGGGCAGATTTCCGCATGGGAGGGGGCAGGATGCGGGCAGAAGGAAGGAGCAGGGTGAAAGGGGGGGGGCTGGCAGTCCCCTGCCGTAGTGAGCCTTGTAAGCCTTTAGGATCTGCTGCCTCTGGGCGTTGCTCCTCTGCGTCACCACCTCGATGATGGCCCCTTCATCCGTGCCTGCAATGACAGCAGTGATGCTGGGGAGAGCCGAGGGGGCCAGCAGAGCCACACTGTGTCACCCCTGACCGCGGGCACATCACCACCCCCACCCCCGCAAAGTGGGGAGGGTGGGGAAGGGAGAGCTCCCACAGCTCCAAAACCATCTTTTTATTCCCCCCGGGACTTTCATGCAGCCCTGCATGGGCCAGGGTGGGTTTTCTGCCGCAGGAGCTGTTGAGGAGCAGCAGGAAGGGGCTGGACGCATGGGCCCTGCTTACCCAGGCCCTTCATCGCCTTCCTCAGCACCTGCGCGTCCCCGTCGTCATTGAAGTCTTCCGTGGGCTGCACGGTTCCTCGCAGCTGTGGATGCACAGAGGGGTTTGGGTTCATCCCTGAGCTGGGTGGGATGGAGGGAGGGATGGAGAGAGAAAGGGACAGAGAGAGGGAGGGAAGGTGCCACCCGGCAAGCTGAGGCCAAAGCAGGTCGTGTGTTAGTGCAAGCACCTGGGGCTCAGTGAGGATGTCCCCGCCACTGTCACCCCCTCCATCGAGGGGCAAACCGTAGCCAGGCCAGCAGAGAGCAGGGAGAAGACAGCAACAGACAGTCCCTGGAGTCTCGGTGTCCTGCTCGGTGTTATACCCGCCTCCCCTAGCACTGGGACACCTCGGCCGGGGCTGGCCGCATCAGCTGAGAGCCAGAAGAGGAGTTGCTGAAAGGGTGCCTGCTCCTGCCCTGTGATTCTACCCTCCTGCATCCTTACAGCTCCCAGTACATCTCCATCCTCCCCATGCACCTGCACGTAGGGCTCAGGGTGTCTTTTCTGCACATCCCAAAGCACCCTTTTGTGTGCACCCTCCAGCTGCATGCAGGGTGCCAGCTCCCCACGGCACGGCTGTGCCCCGGCCGGGGTG